TTGCGCATAAGATCCATCGCTTCTAAAACTCCTCCCGCAATGGGTGGAAACTAATCAAGGAGAGAAGCAACTTAGAACTGAGGAAAAATTTCCCGACAATTACAACAATTAATCAGTGGAACAGAAGTTGCCTCCAGAAGTTGTGAATGCCCCAACACTGGAAATCTTTAAGAAGATGTTGGATAGCCATTTGTCTGAAACGGTATAAGGTTTCCTGCCTAGGCAGGGGGTTGGACTAGAAGACCTCCAAGGTCCCATCCAACTCTGCTATTGTATTGTATTGCATTGTATTGTATTGTGGAAAAGAGACTGGGCGATTCTTGTTCACTTTTGTACATGACCCAGCTGTTTGCTTTAGCCTGTCCCAACTGAGCTGCATCTCACACAACACTTATCTAAATAATATAATCCTTCTAATTAAGAGAAACACATTTGCAAGAGGATGTATGGATTTGCACATTATGCCTTGGTTTGCTTAACCATGATGTGTTGACTCACACTTGGCTGGAATTACATAACACCCATGAGCCATGGTTTATAAACAACAGTGGCTGAATTTATTTAGCAGCAGCAAAGTCCTTTATTGCAATAATATTTTCAATGCTTGGAGAATTGTGCCTATTTTAAAGGCACCAGGTCTTGCCAAGCAAAAAGATGATGGCAGCTCGTCTGTCCTGAATGGGGTTGCTATGCAACTCTTCCCCCTTTCCATTTCTTTTGCCTGCGCCTGTAGTAGTCGGAACAGCACCAGAGTGGAATCTGACTGCTTTTCAAGGCGAACAGCAGTAAAAGAAAAAGATGACGGGAGTCCTCCAAAGTCAGGAAAAAGGTTGGTTTTCCTGTCATCGTGGGAGAAGGGCATTGATTGGTAAAAAGATAAAGGAGAGATTCATCCCTTAAGAATTTTTCCTTGCATCCTTTAGTGTTGCTTTAATGGCCTGAAAAGGCTTGCAGGCTTGGTCTTGTGCCTTGAAAACACAAAGTGGCTTTTCATGCAAGAAGAAAAACACAATTCACCTACTAATGTCTGCAGCTCAAACCCATATATATGCGGCTGAGGGAAGAAAAGGGCAGCCATATGTTCTGTCCCCTTGGTCCCCTTCAGTGGTGGTATTCAGCCGATTCGGACCGGTTTGGGTGAACCAGTAGTGTTGACCTGCAGGTGGGCCCGGCCACCACCCCGGCTCTATGCTGTCCTATTTAGCCATGTTTTCTAAGCCGTGCACATGTGTGCAAGCCACACGTGCGAGCAAAGCGCATGCACGGAAGGTGCCCACACAGAAGGGGCACGCGGGGAAGGTGCATTTGCTCACAGTTTCAGTGCATGGTGAGCCAGTGGTAAAATTATATGAAACACACCTCCTTGCTCTCCAAGGCTCTTCCCACTGTTATAGAATAAATGTCCTTGATTTGAAGAACTAGTTGGAATCTAACAGGGGCTTTGCTAGAATGGATGAAAGAATGAAAGAAAGTTCATGCAAAACAGACCCTGCTGGTCCCCTCATGCGTGCTCTGCCTGTAACACATGTCCCTAGCTTCACCCATGTTTCCTCCCTCCTTATTCTCTTCACACATGCCCACGTACATGCACACCCATGTGGCCTCTGCTTTATAAATGATTCAGATCCTAAAGAGCCTGTCAACTTGAATCTGTCTTGGGCAAATGCCAGTAGAGCAGAGTCAGGTCCTTTCCCTCAAAGGGAATCACAGACGGACGATTTCTGGACCAAGCGGCTGCTATGGCAACGGGGTTTTTTCTTTTTTCTCGTCCCTTTCTTTCCTTTGCCCCAACGACAGGAATGCTTCCTCAGATAAATAATAATGGGGGAGATAAATAATCATATGTGGAGAATGGAGGGGAAGGAAGAGGTTAATAGTTCTGGGTACATGTGTAGGACCCAGATCTTCAAAATAAAAGAGAGCCAATGAGACCATTGTTCCTTCTCATCACTTCAAAAACTTTGTGTGTGTGTGTATGTGTGTGAACATTTTTACACTGATGTTTTCAAGTGACAAATCTGACCAAAATGGAAGAGAGATATTGACAAGGAAAACAAATAATTCTAATGGAAAGAACAGTAATTCAATAAGGAGTGCACCACAGGCTTTCTGAATGCCTGCGGGTAATTAGAATTAATTTAAAACAGATAAAAATGTTCACACACATACACACACACACACAAAGTTTTTGAAGTGATGAGAAGGCACAATGGTCTCATTGGCTCTCTTTTATTTTGAAGGTCCGGGTCCTACACATGTACCCAGAGCTATTAACCTCTTCCTTCCCCTCC